AAAATGCCAAGACAAAGAAACAGGCCACAAAGGACAGAACCGGACGAAAGCAGGCTACTGGATATAGAATTCAAAACCACACTTTTGAGGTCTCTCAAGAGGCTTCTAGAGGCTGTCGATAAACTTGATGAGATGTACAGGAAATCTAATGAGACCCTCGATGGTGTGATAAAGGACCAACTAGGAAGTAAGCATACACTGACTGAAATAAAGAATATTATACAGACTCCCAACAGCAGACCAGAGGAGCGAAAGAATCAAGTCAAAGATTTGAAATGTGAGGAAGCAAAAAACACCCAACCGGAAAAGCAAAATGAAAAAAGAATCCGAAAGTGTGAAGATAGTGTAAGGAGCCTCTGGGACAGCTACAAGCGTACCAACATCAGAATAATAAGGGTGCCAGAAGTTGAGAGACAGCAAGATATTGAAAACCTATTTGAAGAAATAATGGCAGAAAACTTCCCCCACTTGGTGAAAGAAATAGATTTACAAGTCCAGGAAGCGCAGAGAACCCCAAACAAAAGGAATCCAAAGAGGACCACACCAAGACACATCATAATTAAAATGCCAAGAGCAAAAGACAAAGAGAGAATGTTAAAAGCAGCAAGAGAAAGAAACTCAGTTACCTACAAGGGAATACCCATACGACTGTCAGCTGATTTCTCAACAGAAACTTTGCAGGCCAGAAGGGAGTGGCAAGAAATATTCAAAGTGATGAATACCAAGAACCTACAACCAAGAGTACTTTATCCAGCAAAGCTATCATTCAGAATTGAAGGTCAGATAAAGAGCTTCACAGATCAAGAAAAGCTAAAGGAGTTCATCACCACCAAACCAGTATTATATGAAATGCTGAAAGGTATCCTTTAAGAAGAGGAAGAAGAAGAAAAAGGTAAAGATACAAATTATGAACAACAAATACGCATCTATCAACAAGTGAATCTAAGAATCAAGTGAATAAATAACCTGATGAACAGAATGAACTGGTGATTATAATAGAATCAGGGACATAGAAAGGGAAAGGACTGACTATGCTTGGCGGGGAAGGGGTGTGGGAAATGCGGGAAGAGACTGGACAAAAATCATGCACCTATGGATGAGGACAGTGGGTGGGGAGTGAGGGTGGAGGGTGGGGTGGGAACTGGGAGGAGGGAAGTTATGGGGGGAAAAAGAGGAACAAATGTAATAATCTGAACAATAAAGATTTAATTATTAGAAATAAATAAATAAATCCAGAAGCCCAGATGTGTATGTGAAATCTCCAAACTTAAAAATATCAGCCAGTGGTCCATTTGACACAGTAATCCTACTTCTAGGACTATATCCCAAGAAATCAGAAACACCCATCACAAAGGATATGTGCACCCTTATGTTCATAGCAGCACAATTTACAATAGCTAAGATTTGGAAACAGCCTAAGTGCCCATCAGCAGATGAGTGGATTATAAAACGATGGTACATCTACACAATGGAATACTATGCTGCTGTGAAAAAGAAGGAACTCTTACCACAGCATGGATGGACCTAGAGAGCATTATGCTAAGCGAAATAAGCCAGTCGGAGAAAAATAAATATCAAATGATCTCACTCATTTGTGGAATATAATGAACAACATAAACTGATGAACAAAAATAGATCCAGAGACAGAAAAGCATCAAACAGACGTCCAACCTCAGAGAGGCAGTTGTGGGGTGGGGGGTAACCAAAGGACTTTTATGCATGCATATGAGCATAACCCATGGACACAGACAGTAGAAGGGTGAAGGCAACAGTGGAGAAGAGGTCAGTGTGGAGAAAAGGAGACATATGTAATACTTAAAACAATAAAGAATTTAAATTTTTTTTAAATGTAGGAAACCAGATAGCAAACCTAGCAAAAGCACCCCTTTTCATAAATCAGTGTGGGCAGGACAAAAAGTCTGGTGTTTGTCTGAGCCTCTCAATGATCCAACATGACATTCCAGTGGTCTATGGAACAGTCTCCAACGAGGTAGGCATGGTGGTAGGATTTTACTGTAAATCTTTCGGAAACAAAAAAGTCTATCAAAAGTGTACGGTTCTGCCCTAGCAGGTCACTCAATGGTTAGAGCATCAGTCCAAGGACTGTAAGGTCTCGGGTTCGATTCGAGTCAAGGGCACATATCTGGGTTGCTGGCTAGATCCCAGCCCCAGTCAGGGTGTGTGCAGGAGGCAACCAATCTATATGTCTCTCTCACACCCATGTTTCTCTCTCTGTCTCTCCCTCTCCCTTCTACACTCTCTAAAACCCATGGAAAAATATCCCCAAGTGAGGATTAACAACAACAAAAAAGCATATGGCTCTATTTATTCCACCCCATATATTTTCTATTCCTAAAAATAGAAAGAATTGCAATCATTTTGATTCTTACCTACTGAATTTTCCATGCCACTTACCACAACCTATCCTTTTCTATATTTTTATTATCTTAATTATTGTCTGCTTCTCTCTTTTCCCTCCCACAACAAACCAAAATGTGAGTCTCATGGGGGAGGGAACTTTCTTTGTTAAAGTTGTATTCTCCCCTTTTTCGCAACGGGTTTGCCGCCAGAACACAGATGTCGTGAAAACCGCCACTAAATCAAACCCAAAATGGGAAAGGAAAAAAAAAATCACATCAACATCATTGTCATCGGACACGTAGATTCCGGCAAGTCTACCACTACTGGCCATCTAATCTACAAATGTGGTGGGATCAACAAAAGAACCATCGAGAAAATTTGAGAAGGAGGCTGCTGAGATGGGGAAGAGCTCCTTCAAGTATGCCTGGGTCTTGGATAAACTGAAAGCTGACCGTGAGCGTGGTATCACCATTGAGATCTACCTGTGGAAATTCAAGACCAGCAAGTATTATGTGACCATCATTGATGCCCCAGGACACAGAGACTTCATCAAAATCATGATTACAGGCACATCTCAGGCTGCCTGTGCTGTCCTGATTGTTGCTGCTGGTGTTGGTGAATTTGAAGCAGGCATCTCCAAAAATGGGCAGACTCGTGAGCATGCCCTTCTGGCTTACACACTGGGTGTGAAACAGCTGATTGTTGGTGTTAACAAAATGGATTCCACTGAGCCGCCCTACAGTCAGAAAAGATACGAGGAAATTGTTAAAGAAGTTAGCACCTACATTAATTGGCTACAACCCCAACACAGTAGCATTTGTGCCAATTTCTGGTTGGAATGGTGACCACATGCCAAGTGTTAACATGCCTTGGTTCAAGAGATGGAAGGTCACCCGTAAAGATGGCAATGCCAGTGGTACCACGCTGCTTGGAGCTCTGGATGGCATCCTGCCACCAACTCACCCAACTGACAAGCCCCTGCATCTGCCCCTCCAGGATGTCTACAAAATTGGTGGTATTGGTCCTGTCCCCGTGGGCCGAGTGGAGACTGGTCTTCTCAAACACGGCATGGTGGTCACCTTTGCTCCAGTCAATGTTACAACTGAAGGGAAGCCTGTTGAAATGCACCATGAAGCTTTGAATGAAGCTCTTCCTGGGGACAAGGTGGGCTTCAACAACAAGAACGTGTCTGTCAAAGATGTTCGTCATGGCAATGTGGCTGGTGACAGCAAAAATGACCCACCAGGGAAGCAGCTGGCTTCACAGCTCAGGTGATTATCCTGAGCCACCCAGGCCAGATCAGTGCTGGATATGCACCGGTGCTGGATGGTCACACAGCTCCTGTTGCTTGCAAATTTGCTGAGCTGAAGGAGATTGATGGTCGTTCTAGGAAAAAGCTGGAAGATGGCCCCAAGTTTTTGAAATCTGGTGATGCTGCCATCGTTGATATGATTCCTGGCAAGCCCATGTGTGTTGAGAGCTTCTCTGACTACTCTCCTCTGGGCCGTTTTGCTGTTCGTGACATGAGACAGACAGTTGCTGTGGGTGTCATCAAAGCAGTGGACAAGAAGGCAGCTGGAGCTGGCAAAGTCACCAAGTCTGCCCAGAAAGCTCAGAAGCTAAATGAATATTTATTCCCAACACCTGCCACCCCTGTCTTAACCAGTGGTGGAAGAACAGTCTCGGAACTGTTTGTCTCAATTGGCCATTTAAGTTTAATAGTAAAAAGCTGGTTAATAATGACGAGACATCGGAAAACCTTCAGAAGGAAAGGAGAATGTGTTGTGGGCCATTTGGTTCTTTTGTGTGTGTGTGGCAGTTTTTAAGTTATTAGTTTTTAAAATCAGTACTCTTTAATGGAAACATTACCAAAAATCTGTCACAGAGTTTTGAGACCCATTAAAATAACAAAGTTAATATATATATATATATATATTCTACCTGGGTGAGACAATACCAGTCCTAGGAATCACTTAACTACTAATCTATAGATATAAAAGGCTAACATGCAAAGTGTCTCCTCGGGAGTTCGACCACGAGAATGGGAGTTTGATCGCTAGCTATGACCTGGTGAGCTGACCACCAGGGAGTGGCGCAGAACATGGCAGGCGACCAGCGGCGGTGGCAGGGTGCTGAGGGAGTGAGGGAAGGAGAAGGCAGGGAGGCAGGGAAGTGGGGAACCTGATCTGCCCTGATCGCCAGCCTGGCCTAGGGACTCTACCTGTATATGAATTTTGTGCACCGGGCCTCTAGTTGTTGTGCCGGGGTTCATGTCCCAGCATCAAGAAGGGTTCAGGAATCTGGAAAAGGCTTCGCGTAGATGACATAGGAATCCAGAGACTAATAAAGTGTCCGGAGACGAGATATAATTTAGAAAGGCATTGGGGGTCAAAGGACCTTCAGCTAAAGGAACTGAAGACTTCCTCCTTGTCTAGGACCCTTGCTTTTATTAACACAATTTGTCCTAAGGCAAGGTGGAGATAATACACTTCAAAGGCTAAGATTTCAAAGGGTACAGAAGCATTGTCAGTTTGGGGGATAGCCTACGGCTGTTCAGGTATTTGGCCAGTAGGAGGCAATAACATGTAGATTAAGATGCCCTTTAACTGTCTGGCAGCCACAATCAGTTTTCTATTCAGGTTTGGGAAATGCCTTTAGCCATTTCCAACAGGTGACTATCAACCTTTTGATGAAACTCTTGATATTATGACGTGCTGGAATTGGTTCCCAGCATTGTTGAATAGATGAATGCAAGGATTTGGCACCATCTACCAGCTATTATCCACAGGCAGTTGAGCTTTATATCCCTTTTGGTTCCTTGTGCCTTGGAATCTTGGGGGAGGAGTGGGGGTCACTTATCAGGTTTTGCTGGGCCCAAAAAGCTCAATCTTTGCCTGGTGCCATCTCTAGAAGGAAAGGGAGAACTTGGAAATCAGATAATCTGATGCAAACAAGACAGGGAACTCACTACTTCTTATACAACCCAGAACATTGAGGGAAATGTCATTTTTAGAAAATTCTGAGATTGTTCAAGTTGAGATCATGCCATGTACCTTCACTATTCCTCGGTTGGTTCTAGAGCCAGCCTTGGTTTCCCTGGACTTTTACCTCCCCAGTGACAGTGACCAGGTGGGAGGACCAGCCGCTGAACACCAGGATTGTACCCGGCGTCCAGGATAATGTTGACTGAAGTACGGATCCATTAGCCCAAGCCAGGACCACAGTGATGGAGCTTCCCGAGGCTTTTCCTGTTCCACCCACACTGCTGGGAAGATGAAGAGAGGACCTGAGGGACAGTGAGTTCTTTTATAAGTGGCGTCCAGAGGGAGCTCCAATGGGGTGCAAATTTTAGCACAACCTGAGTAAGGAAGGAGAAAACCAACTAAGCTCTCTACCATTTGGCTCTCTTCAAATACCCTCTAGGTCTCTTTGAAAGGATTTGGGGAGGGGAGGGTGGAATTATTTACCTCTAGGGAGGAGAACTGTGATTGTAGTGGGGGTGGTTTGTGGTGAATATCCTTTAACAGTTTTCAGGACATCTTTGGTATCCATTTGCAACAGTGAATAACGTGTAAATGATAAAAGGAAACAACAAAGGTTCTTTCAGGATGGGGCCCTCTGTAGGGCCCTTTCTGCATTACAGGTTTCAGATATCACATTCTTGCACGTTATCCGTGCAGCTTTCTGGGGGTCTGAACCTCCCAAACCAATTGCAGGGTGGGCTTTTTATTCAGCTCAAAGTCCCAAGGGTCTCTGTTTCTCGTGTCCAAGAACCCTCTTCTTCTTTAAAAAAAAAAAAATGTTTATTGATTTCGGAGAGGACGGGAGAGAGGAAAAGAGATAGAAACATCAATGATGAGAGAGAATCATTGATCAGCTGCTTCCTGCACACCCATACTGAGAATCGAGCCCACAACCTGGGCATGTGCCCCAACTGGGAATTGAACCGTGACCTCCTGGCTCATAGATGGCTCAACCACCAAACCACACTAGCTGGGCAGGATCCTCTTCTTTTTTGAGTACTGAGACCTTGAAGGGTGGTGGGAGATGGGATGGTATTCATCAGTGGGTAGAAAAGAATAATCAAAAACGTCATGACTCTGTAACCACAGAACCAGTTCTGATGGTCCTATTCTGTTTCTTACAAGATACTGAGTTGTTTTTTCAGAGACAATAGAACAAAACTGCAAGTCAGGCGGCAGAGGAAAAAAATGTTGCAAATTACTCATCGAACCAGATTTCCACCTTTGCCCATTCCTCTACCTCTCATCCCCTATCTCCATCCACCATCCCCCGCCCATGGAGCCAAAGGACCGGACATGATCAGGACCTGAATACCAGAACACTTTCAGAGGCCACTGTCCAGGCAGTCCCCGTGCCGACCCCTCAAGCCCATGCCCCAAAACCTGGATCGGGGAGACTGAACTCCTTGCTCATGGACTTCACAATAAAGCTTTTTTCTTTTCTCAAAAGCTGGTGCCATGGTATTGGCTTTTATGCACATCAGACAGCGAGCCCTTGCTTGGTAACAAGTCCATCAAACAGCTGGTCCTAGTGAAGCATAGTGGTCCCTCCTTTGGAAAAACTGCTGTTTGAACTACTCTGTTATTCTTAGTCTCTTATTCTGTAGGTCAACTCTGTTATTTTTAGACTGTAAAATAACTTTGTTTTTTGCTTGAATAGAAAAGATAAACTTAATTGTCTGACCTTGCAAGCTAGCCATCTAACTGATACGCTGATATTGATGCCAGGTGCCTGTATAGATATGATACTCAAGGTTACAGGTGTCTGTATAGACAGCATATGTACTCAAGGTTACATGCTGTCTACAAAAATAACTTACACAAAGAACTAGAAGGATATAAAAAAGAAATACTCCCTCCTGTGTTTGTTCAGAATTTGACAGAGGTAATCTGCTCTGAACCTGCATGCAATAAAGATGACTCCTAACTAACTGGCTGATTAAGATGTCTTGTCCAGCTTGCTGATTTGCGATGAAGTATGGCAGCAACCATACTTCAGGTAGAAACTGTAGTTTAACTCTAACCCTGCTGTTTGGCTTAACAATAGAAAAGTTATTTTGATTTTCTGAATTGCATACATCATCCCATTCGATTGAATGACTATCCCATTGATTGTTGTCTTACTGGTTTTAGAAAGCACATTCTTCTGTACCTGGGAACCAGGACAGCACAATTATCCTAAATTGTTTTAGTGGCCACAGATAATGCGTTCCAGTTGACTCAGTGGTCCCAAGACCAGGACAGCACAATTACTCTAAATTGCCTCAATGGCTCTAGATAATGAGTTCCTGGCAACCCAGTGGTCTCAAGATCCGAGGGCTCTAGATAAGGTGTTTCTGTCAATTCAGTGACCCCGAGACCCAAAACTGTAATGAACATGCTTAATTCTGCTTCTGTAAACTGCTTTTTTGCAAACCAGGTTCCTCATTCCAAACCTTAAGATGTAATCAATACCTTTGTGATCTTTGCCTATATAAGTCTGGTTTTGCCACCATCTTATCACTATGATATTTAGGAATGACCCCTCATAGTCCCAGATTGCAATAAATGTGACTCTTTAATTTGACTTCTTGAGGCGTCCTTCTGTGATTCGAGGGGTATGTTACACCAGCGATACAACACTAGTTTCTATAAATGCCCCTGCTATTTTTGTTAGGGGCAGAAATGGAATAGTGGGGACTAGCAATAATTATAAGAAATATTAATCACGCTCTATTAACTGTGATTGTTCTGTTCTGATCAGAGAAAGCACATTCTGACCTGGTGAGAGTTGTACGCCCTGGCACATGGGAGCTAACATCAGAATGCAGCCCATCCTGCTTTTCTGAGAACCGCCTGTCATTCTCATCCCGGAGGCCTGCCTTTGCCTGCCCTTTGGGACCCCAACCCCTATTGCCTGTACTTTGGTCCTGCAGGTGCCCAGAGGCACTTCCCCTCTGCCACCTCCCAGGCCCACATTGCCTGTAACCTGTAACCATTATTCCTTGACTTTCCCATGACTGTCATTCTAACTTTCCCATGTAATCTTTGACCTTCTACCCAATATAAGCAGCTGGCTTATGGGGAGGGGTAGAGCAGCTTTTTGTGGATGACCTACTGCTCTCTCATACTGAAACAGGAATTTTAGGGGAACATAGGCAGGTTTAGGGAATTTTTAGAATTGGGGTCCAAGGAAAAAAACATAGGGCTACAGATTGGGAGAAGGTACATTTCCATAACACAAGGAAGCCAGGTGCAGTTACATTTCCATAAGACAAGGGAGCAGCAACAGTTGCATTTACATAAGACAAGGAAGCAGCAACAGGTATATTGCCATAAGACAAGGAAGCTGGAAGTAGCCACAGAAGGTCAATATTTACAAAATAAAGAAGGAAGAAAGCCCCGAAGGAATAGGAGGAAAATGAGGGAGGAGGGCCTCAGGAGTCACTATAGTAACCAAATCGAAAGGGAATATTGACCAGAGGGGATATCAGGACACAGGAACTACAGCCTTTATAAACCATGGAAACAGAAAGTCGGTGGGACCCTTTCCCCCTCCCCACGTGGGAGTCCATTCTGTGGGACTCTTCCCCTCTCCCCACGTGGGAGTCTGTACTTGTTCTTCAAAAAATCTCCACCTTTGCTACACTACTGTGAAACGCCATGGCCAGCGTGGCTCTTGGGTTCAAAGGCTTGGAGAAAGAGCTGATGCACAAATTAAAACACAAGACAAGAAATATAATTTTTAAATTATGGGGGAGCCAGGGAAAGCTTAACTGTAGAAGTCAAGTTCCACTGAGTCTCAGTTCCAGTCTGCTTTTATTTACTAGAATACACAATTGACTTTTAGGAATGCAAACAGACATATCAATGGTAATGTTTAGTAAACAGTAAGATTATCAGGTTGGGGGAGTTTGCTTTAGGCCATTGAGTCAGCAGTAGGTAATAAAATGCAAATATTCACCCTGTGAGTATCAAAGAGCCCAAATTCAGCCTTCTGACAGGACTTCTCACATTTATATTAATTATTGTTGATCTTGGTTCTCAGCGTACTACCCTCTGTCTGTGGATTTATTCTTCGACTCCAGCAGACAAAGAATCCGGGTTCCAGTCCAAAAATTCCATATCAATACTGCCGGCATTATTGAAATAAACACTCGTACATGATTCAATCCTTTCTTTGCTTAAGGCTCAGGTAGTGACAGGCAGCCTAGCCCCGTTGGTTGTCCGGTTTCATTTGGAGCAAATGATCCTTTTCTGCTCACTCCTCCCTTCTGTCTCTCTCCTCCTATGTCAGGCTGGCTCTCTTTGTAGACTGAAGTTTTAGTAAAAGGTACCTAAAATTAAATCCAAGGTTATTTCTGCTCAGAGTTCATGCAGCCAGTTTGCCAGTTTGCTGTGTGCACCCTGACTGCATCTCTGATTGCTAAGGCAGCATTCATTCTTTTCTTTTCTTTTCTTTTTTCTTTTCTTTTCTTTTTTCTTTTCTTCCCTTCTTTCTTTTCTTTTCTTTTCTTTTCTTTCATTTTCTTTTCTTTTCTTTTTAATAACACTAGAGGCCTGGTGCATGAAATTCATGCACGGGTGTGGTCCCTAGGCCTGGTCGGCGATCAAGGCCAATCTAGGCCTTCTGACTGCCGGCTGGGGCCTTCCTTCACTCTGCGCCATCCCCTAGTGGTCAGTGCACATCATAGCGAGTGACCGAACTCCTGGTCTCCCGGTTGAACTCCTCAGGGGACACTTTGCATATTAGCCTTTTATATATATAGATTTTTTATTGATTTTTATAGAGAAAGGAAGGGAGAGAGAGAAAGAAAGAAACATTGACATAAGAGGGAAATATCAAGCCTGCAACCGGGGCATGTGCCCTGACCCAGAATCGAACCGGCAACCCTTTAGTGCACAAGACAATGCCCAACCAATTAAGCCACACTGGCCAAGGTGAAACATTCATTCTTTTTTTGTTGTTTTGTTAATCCTCACCTGAGGATATTTTTCCATTGATTTTTAGAGAGAGTGGAAGGGAGAGAGACAGAAAGAGAGAGACACAGATATGAGAAAGACACATTGATTGCCTTTGCACAGTCCCCAACCAGGGCCGGGATCAAGCCTGCAACTTGACCAGGATCGAACGCAGAACCCTTCAGTACGTAAGCCTTGGTTTTGCGTACCCTCTTTCCACTGAGCCAAACCAGCTAGGGTGAAGCATTCATTCTTTTAGCCCCATCTCTGGCCTTCATGCTCATGCCTATCAAACATTAATCTCTTCCTAGTTGTCTACCTGAACCCTGAGAGCTGCTTCCACAGGCAGAATCTCTATGAATGCCTGTAATGACAAGGCAGGTAGAATAAAATGTTTCCAAAAATTGCTCCATTGAGTCAAGCCCTGACAACTATGGCAGTTTGTCAACAGGTAGCTATAAAACAATGGTCCTAGAACTAGCCTAGCTTCTTTTAAGTTTGTTTTTCAGATTTAAAGCAGAGCCAAAAACTCCAGAGACAAATTCAAAATACCTGTTGGGAAAGTCCCTTTTTGCATCCCATAATAAGTCTTGCACAATCCCAGAATGTTTTGCTTTACTAACTCATACCAGGACTTCAGTGGGACCCAAGCATTCCTAAAAAAGAAAAAGCCAGCCAACCTACACCCTGACTGGTTAACTCCAGAACCTTCTGTATTCCCAAGGAATAAAAACCCTTAAGCCCCACATTTGGGGCACAGAACTTGAGGCTCTGTCTCAGTGGTTTTGCCCTCTGCAAAGCCTCAATAAATCTGCCTTTGCTTTTATCAGTGTCCCTGGTCTAAATTCTTTTCTATCAGGAGACAAGAACCCAAAGTCTCAGTAATGATGATGTTGGATCACACTCATTTCCCAGATGAGGCTCAGAGTGAGCAGGGTGTAACCAAAACCAAGGTTGTGCTGCCTGCAGCCATGAAAGCCAAACTCTTATAAGACAGCTGATGGTGAAAAAGGAAAGAGGTTTATTCAAGTATTGGCTACCTGAGAAGGTGGGGGACTCTTACCCAAAGCCCATCTTCCTACCTCAGTGCAGGCAGAGGTTTTTATAAGGAGGGAGAGGGAAAGCAGAACAAAGAAATCAAGGGGAGAAGGTTGAAAAGTTCTCCATGTTCTAGCCAGCACAGTCTACTCTGATAAGGACCTTGAAACTGGTCAAGTGATGGTCTGCTGTGTCATCCTGGTCTTTGTCATCCTGGGTCTACATCATCCTGGTTCTATGGTTGAAGGTCAGCAAATCTCCTGGAACTGGGAGGAGTCTGCGTCTTCTGAAGTTAGTTCCTAGGATTCTTATACATGTAAACATGCTGTCTATCTACAAGCTCCATATCAGTCAGAGTCAGCATTTACAGAAACAATGCCAACATAATGGTGGTGGGGTGACAATTCCTCACTCTTACAAGGACACGCTTCTGGAGTAACAGAACTAGAACTCAAACTCATAGCCTTCAA